CTGGTCACTCTCTTCTCTCAGCAGCCAGCAACAGCACGATACCTTTCACTGTGGAATTAAAACTAGTAGTCGAGAGCTAAAAGTTTTCATTTTCATGCCATTAGCCATCTTCTCAAGTCATTTAATTATGTCCCAGCACAGGACTCCTTTCTTCCGTCCCTTGCCATTAGCAGAATCATGCTCTCAATGCATCTCATGGTCCTACGCACTGGGGATCATAAGCTAAATCTCCCTTTCCATCTCAGACATTAAAATTACTTCCCTTAGTGTACTGAATTTCAGCCCTTTTATTAGGCTGAAATTTATTTGACATTAGAAGGCACTGGAAATGCAAAATTGAGAATCCATTTTAACAAGGAATATTGAACAGTGGACCACAGACCATCTTTCCATTAAACGAGAGGAATAGAAATGAGTTGACATGCTCTGTGGGTTTTATTAAGAAAAGACGAAGGAAAGGAAACTAGAATTCACTGAACTATCTCAAGTAAAGTGCTTTATGTTGTCTTACTTAATTTTTAAAGCCATCTGTGAGGCAGTCATCATTATACTCCTTGTACAGACAGGGAAATTGAGAGTCAATCTGGCCAAGCACAGCGGCTCACACTTGTCATCCCAGCACTTTGGGAGGCCAAGGCGGGCAGATCACAAGGTCAGGAGTTCAAGACCACCCTGGCCAACATGGTGAAACCTCATCTGTACTAAAACAGAGTCAATCTGGCTGAGCACAGTGGCTCACACCTGTCATCCCAGCACTTTGGGAGGCCGAGGCGGGCAGATCACAAGGTCAGGAGTTCAAGACCACCCTGGCCGACATGGTGAAACCCCATCTGTACTAAAAATACAAAAATTAGCTGGGCATGGTGGTGTGTGCCTGTAATCCCAGCTATTCAGGAGGTTGAGGTAAGAGAATTGCTTGAACTGGGACCCAGGAGGCAGAGGTTGCAGTGAGCCAAGATTGCGCCACTGCACTCCAGCCTGGGCTATGGAGTGAGACTCTGTCTCAAACAAAAAAAAGAAAAAAGAAAAAAGAAAAGGGTCAATCTAAGAGCTGCATCATTATGAGAATTTAAAGCCATGTGCTTACCTGGTGGGCATGGTGGCTGTCACATCCATCTATCACTTCCAACAGAAATGGCCCCAGATACAGCCCCTGCCCAAGGGAAGTTTGTTCTATGTTGACTGCTAAATGCAAGGTCAGGGTAAGAATACAATTTTGCCTAGAATAGAATTGGTGTATTCCTGTTATTCTGTAATAATTATTAATAACACCCCCTTTCGTTCTTAAAATTGTCTTAACTTGGAATAATAAATTGATAAATCACTAGAAGCCCCCAGGTGGAATGAATGGATCCACCCCCTCAGCAGTAAAAATCAATGACCAAAATCTAAGGGAGATGGCAGTTCTCATTCCAGAGAAAAACATTAGAAACTACAGTCCAAGGGCCATGGTTATTTTAAAGTGTCCTCCCTTGCCCAAGACCAAAGTAAACACCAGCAACCCGGGTAAGATGAATATGGTAAGTGCATGTGTTTTTAGGCACAGGAAAGTGAAGGAAAAGCTGAAGAAGCAGCTGTTCACTGCATCCCAAATGCAGGGAGAAAGGCCCTTGGAATAGGGCAGGAGTGCGCTTGATGTGGAGTGCAGGGAGTCATGCTAAGGCCTGGAGAACATGGAAGCCAACTTAGGCCTGAGAAGGAGCCCTGGCTGAGTTGGAGCAAGTCAGGGCAAAGCCGCAACCCTCATCCTTGGAGAAACTGGAGTGATGGGCAGAGGAGCAAGGTGTGAATTCTGTTATGAGGCCTGGGCCAAAGCTGTGGCCTGAATCCCAGGACCCAGGCAAGTGTCTGGGGAGGCCCGTTGTCAGAGGAGGACTGGCAGCCCTGGGGCCTGGGATTCATATCATCCCTGAGCTCAGCATTCAGGCTGGCCTGTGGGGAGCAAGTAAAGCCAGCAAACTGGGAACAGAAGGACTAAAGGGCTTTTCTGTATGTCAGCAATTCAGGCAAATATTAAAGTCTCAAACCCACACCATCAAGCCAGAGGATCTACGCAGCAATGGGACCAAGGGAGAGGGGTCAGAAGGCACTGATTCCCAGCTACCCAGTACCTAAATAATTGAGTCCTCCTGGGTTTCAAGAAAGGCTAGCACTCAGGAATTTGTTATATTTATTTTTGCTGGCTTTTGTTGATGCTCTAATGAAGAACCTATCTTTTATCTATTTGACATATTAAACTCCTATTTCATTTACCCTAGAATTTTGCCCCTTAGTACTTATTAATGAATCTGAAATCCATGCCAATCCATGTCAGTAATTGAGCTGCAATTCGTTACCTCCCTCCTCTTTCATGTTAGACATAAAGTGTCCACATAGCAGAACCACAGGTATTATAGCTATTCTTAAGACCAAGGGTTAACCTGGCTAGGACAGGGTTTACTGTGTGAGAGATGCTACTGAATAATACTCAGATTGTCCTGGATCTAGTCGCTACGTCTGCAGATACAGCTTATCCTGAACAATACATTCTAGGCCTTTCACCTTGCAGGGCAGTGAGAGACAAATTAATAGTCAGGAGAGGCACATTCATAAACTCTGAAAAGGGATGAACTCTTTAACAGAGGTATGTCCAGCACCTCCTGCAACCTCAATCAAGCATGCTTACGTCTTATTGATGCAGCTGCAACGAAGTGCAAGGTCCCTGGCAGAATGCATACCCTCTCAGGCTCAGTTTCATGTGTGGGCTGGCACTAAGAGGCTGTTAATTTTGAGCATTCACAGGAATGTTGGTTAGAGGAAGGAAGGATGCAAGGGGGAACCTAAGTTGGGGAAGGCAAAAAGATTTTAGCCTGAAAACCAACTCCAAGGGACTGGTAGCAGTGTGTGATCCCTGGTATTGAGAAGGATTCTGAGGTTCGCCAGAAAGAGTTGCTCCATTAGCCAAGTCCACCGTGAGTGCCATAGGTGGGAACAATGCCATGCCTGAGTGTCCTGGGGCACCGCTCTGACCTAGGCATGGGCGCTCTGCTATCTATCTGTAGATGTTTGGTATGCAATGGTGGTGGGACAAACCCAGTGACGATTGATGATCTGCTCATGGGGGAGAAGGAGGAAATTTGGAAGAAAGACAGATCCTGGATGCCTTGAAAATAAGTCAGCTCCTTCCAAAAAAAACCCCAGCCATGGTAGGAGAACAACAGCTGAAGCCATGTCCCAAGGGAGGACAATCCCGAGCTGATGGAGACACCATGTGAAGTCTCAGGGAGGAACTGACCCCCAGGACAAGTGGGCTGTGGCTCAAAGCCAGGACACTAGGCTGGCCTCTAGTCCGGCTCTCACTGGGCTGCGCAAGTCCTCAGAAGAGTCAGCAGCAATGGAGAGATGAACCAAACAAGCATTTCCATGTGAAAAGCAGTGCTCTTTTGTTCCAAAAGAGAGTCTTATGCTCCTGGAGAGAAGGAGGCTTTTAGTACACTCTCAGCATGGGGCCAATTAGGTGGGGAAAGAGAACCCACGGTGTCTCCCAGAACAGACTGAAAAGAACCATCTGCGGCAGCAACAGTGCCGCATCCAGACCTGCCAAGGCGTTTGCCGATGGTCACCACGGCAACCGGGAGCCCGAAGGCCACTCGGAGGAAGATCACAGTACGTGGGCTGCCCTAGGAAGTCTACACGGAGCTGCACGTATGGATTTGCAGATAATTGGCCACAACCTGCCAGTGGGAGCAAGTCACAGAGTTAGCGTCTGGACCACCACTGGTGATTTTGCTGTGCCCCAGGGATGACTACACAGAGACCCTCCCGTCCCCATCACCTTCGTCACCACAGCCCTGATAGGACAGCTGCCTGTGTTTTCTGATGATCTGCTTGTGCTAGGCCAGGCTCATCCCTAACCTGGGCTTTTCCACTCTAACCCTTAGATTTCTTGAAGGGCCTCTCATGGTTTTCCACCTCTTCCTTTCCCAAAAGCCCCAGCCTGACGTGCCTGGCCAAGGGAGCCAACGTGTGCCTCTTAAACCACTGGGAAGAAGGAAAATAGTTCACAGAGCCCATTAGGAACAAAACAAATGATTCTGTGGAAACGTTTAATTCATTCTTGGCAAGCCACGCCATGGGCTTGGAAAAACAGAGCTGCGCTCCGGTCTTCTCCCCCGGAAGCCTATTCATTCAGGCTATGGAAAAAGAAAAAAAAAGAAAGAAAGGTAATGCTGACACTCTTCAGCAATCTGCACATAATGACAACAAGGCCTGGGAGTGCCTAGTGTTAGCAGGACTGGCACAGCAGGGAGAGCTGGCTCCAGCCTGGGGGCCTGGATAAGCAATCAGACTCCATGCAAATGGCGTGCACCCTGCGTGGGGCTGTGGGATGTGCTGGCCTGGGCCTGGTGGGTGGAACTCTGAGCATTGCCCCTCTTGGATCCATCTCCAGGGTGCTTGTTTTCTGCAGATGAAGATGATCTTAGCTCCGAATGGAAGGCTGAATATTGTCAGAGCTCTTTGCCTCTCTAGCCCCTGCTCAGGGAAAGTGGAACTGATGCATTCAGCACTCACAGTGTGTCACTTTATCAAGGACAGAATTAGGTGACGTTTGAAATGTTTGCCAGGGCCACTAGAGGTGGCCACCACAGTCTCAGGATCCCACCTCTCATTTCCAACAGCAGACCCTACTAGAGGATTAGAGACCCCTTTCCTGACCTACAGAATCAACTCAACTTTCCAGCTGGCCACAACCAATTGAAAGGTGTTAGCTAAGCTCAGACGTGAAACGTATTTGCCCTCCCAGGCATGGCCCCTCCCTGAGCGTTGTGTTGTCACTGCTGCTGCAGCTGGATGGCTTCACCTGGCAAGGAATAAGTGATCAGCCCCAGGTCAGGCAGCCTGAGAATGGCAGAATCAGTGACATTGCCCCAGGTACCTGGCAAGTCCAAGCTAGCCTCGGCTGAGAACACCAGCCCTCGCCAGCCTCCTCTCCACTCTCTGACTGTCGGTTTCTGCTCCAGGTCCTGCTGGACTCCTGCCCTCAGCCTGGCCCACTGCTTCTGGGAACACACACAGCCGTGGTTGCCCTGTTCTGATGGTTCCCAACACGGTGAGCATAACGGTGGGGATAGGGACCCCCTGTGCTGACACTCTGGGGCCCAGACAGCTAAAGAGAGACATGGATTAGGTGCAACATTGGCATACATCATTTGGAGGAAGAGATGCATCCTTCCTACATTCATTAATTGATTCTTCCACTGCACTCTGTTTTGAGTCTCTGCTGTGTATGTCAAAATATGTGAAGGTAATGATGGTACAGAAAGGAAAAGACCCAGCCTGGGTTCTGGAGGCATCAGTCAGGCAGAACAGACACAAATCCTGGCCCTAGATCAACTAAGTTCCCTCCTTCCTTTCGCACCACAGCCCCCTGAAACCGGACATCCCCAGCCTCCTTCCCCCTGCCTCATGGGGGCCACCGTTCAGTTGATCTTGAAGGTTCTCTCCAGAGCTGGACATGCATGCGACAGAGTGTCCTTGGCCAGTCCCACCTGGGTGGCAGGGTTTGGTGGGCTTACTGTGGATCACTGCAGGGAAACAGCTGAGAAGGAAGCAACATGGGAACAGACGTGGGAGGGGCATTTCCAGCCGTTGTGGTCACTTCCTGGTGTGTACTAACTCCTCCAGTGGCACCTGGAAGTCTCCCTGGATGTCTTGCTGACAAGTAGCTTTGATTTCTAAATCTTAGTACCTCTCCCCCACCCAACCCCTGAAAGCTACTCAACCTTTCCCAAGTTGTGGGCAGGAAAATGCCTGCTCTCAACCTAGATTGCGAGCACCCCAACCCAGGTCAGACCCTCCCCCAAGACACATATTTATAAATAAAGGACATGGAAGAGGATTAGGTCAAGGCAGAAGAGGTAGCAGACAACAATAACAGGAGAGAGAGAGAGTGAGAGAGAGAGAGGGAAGCAGGGGGAGACACAGAGGAAGAGAGAGAGAAGTAGAGTATGAGGGGATGGGAGCCAAAAGGAAAAGTGAGGGGCTCCCAGAGAAGACATTGTTTTTGGCAATCTTGCCTGGAAGCAATTCTGGCAACCTCGTTGCTTCCATTTCCTTTCCTGTAAAAGGTGTGGAAAGCACTATCTCCTCTCTTTGATTTCCTGTGAGACTGAGTTAATGAGAGCGCAGAAGTGATGGAGAGGGGGAAGAAAGCTGTGAGGACAGATGCCCTTCGTGCTGAAGCCCGGAGGATAGAACGCTTGCCATAAATTAGTCTCCATCAAAACAGCTTCATGTGTGAAAGATAATGCTGTTTCTTCATTAGTGGTTTTTGTCTGTGACAATTAAGCCTCCACATTTGATCTCAGATAACCCTTCCTAACTTGGCATCATTCAATCTGCTCAGACTGGAGGAGGGATGGAAGCGGCGTTCACTCACAAACACTGGATTATCAGTGTAGATGCTTTAGTGGCAATATGAGAACTTACTGAGGGCACGGATGTGCAGGGTGTGCAGGGGTCCATTATACGCACAGCCAGCACGCCTCCAAATTCCCCTGCTCTGCAAGGGGTGTTAATCTCCAAATAAAAAGACTTAAATCCCAAGCACCAAGGGAAGTTCAGTAACCATGCCATCCCATAATATATACATCATCAGTCCATAAAGATCCCAGAGAATTTCCCAGAGGCCTTTTGCTCACTCAGGCCTATCTGCAGTGAACAGGAGCCCTAGCAAAACCTCCTATGCCTATTCAGTGTTTCAAATCCTGTCTCCCTCTCTCTGAATTAGTCACAGAAATCTATGATGGAAAAAATCCACGATGATGAAAACAGAATCCAGGCACACCACCGTGGACACCTCCTCAGGAAGAGCCTCAGGAAGGTTCTCCAGAAGGGATCCCGAAAAAGGCTCCATCATCACAGGAGATGATAGCTCCATGCGTGTAATTGCCCCCGAAAGTTTTCCAGTGGGGCGAGATGTGAAGGTGGAAGACAGTGATGTTGAGGGTCCTCACCTTGTGTAGGGCTAGGCCAATGTGTGTGTTTCTGTCTTCATTTGTGACAAAAACCTTCTGAAAGGTAAAAATAACAAACAAATAAATAATTTTAAAAATAAAAAATGTTTCTAGAATAATGACATAAAGAAAATGTTTTTGTACAGCTGTACAATGTGTTTGTGTTCTAAGCTAAGCATTAGTGGAAAAGAGTCGAACAGTTTTAAAAAACGTAAAAGTTTATGGCTTTAAAAAATGACAGTAAACTAAAGCTAACTTATTATTGAAGAAAGAGAAATGGTTAAAATGAATTTAATGTAGCCTATATGTACGGTGTTTGTACTCTACAGCAGTGTATCATAATGCTCTAGGCTTCCACAGTCACTCACCACTGACTCACTGACTCACCCAGAGCAACTTCCATTCCTGCAGGTTCCATTCACGGTAAGTGCCCTACACAGGTGTACCCTTTTAAAAAGTCTTTTAGGCCGGGCGTGGTGGCTCACGCCTGTAATCCAAGAACTTTGGGAGGCCGAGGCGGGTGGATCACAAGGTCAAGAGATCGAGACCATCCTGGTCAACACGGTGAAACCCCATCTCTACTAAAAATACAAAAATTAGCTGGGCACGGTGGCACGTGCCTGTAATCCCAGCTACTCAGGAGGCTGAGGCAGGAGAATTGCCTGAACCCAGGAGGTGGAGGTTGCGGTGAGCCGAGATCGCACCATTGTACTCCAGCCTGGGTAACAAGAGCGAAACTCCGTCTCAAAAAAAAAAAAAAGTCTTTTAGGCTAGGCATGGTGGCTCACGCCTGTGATCCAAGCACTTTGGGAGGCCGAGGTGGGTAGATCATGAGGTCAGGAGATCGAGACCATCCTGGCTAACATGGTGAAACCCCTTCTCTTCTAAAATACAAAATATTAGTCAGGTATGGTGGCACGTGCCTGTATTCCCAGCTACTCAGTAGGCTGAGGCAGAAGAATTGCTTGAACCCAGGAGGTGGAGATTATAGTGAGCCAGGTTCGTGCCACTGCCCTCTAGCCTAGGCGACAGAGCAAGACTGTCTCAAAAAATAATAATAAAAAAACATTTTAAAAACTCTTTTATACCACCACATTTTTACTGGAACTTTTCAATGCTTGGATATGTAAAGATATACAAATGCCATTATGCTACAGTTCTCTACAGTATTCAGTACAGTAACTGTGAGCAGCTGTTCCACAGAGTCTAGGCCTGGTGTAGGCTGTGAGACCTAGGGTTGTGTAAGCACACTCTACGATGTTCGTGAAATGACAACTCACCTAATGATGCATTTCATAGAACGAAGCTCCCATCATTCTAAGAACATTTTTACATTTCCTCATCATTAATCAACACGTGACTGTACTTTCTATATTTTCTAGTGATCTACTCCAGTTCACTAATCCTGTTTTCTGTCACGCCTATCTGCTTCTGTCTATTTGTGATTTCAGATATTGAATTCCTTAAGTTCTGGAATAAATAAATAAAACTTTAAATATTTTCATTTTTTGTAATTTCTAGTTCTTTGCTAAATTATCAAACTTTTCTTCTATTTTTTAAACATAGAGTTCCAAAAAGTTTATTCTTCCTTTTCCTAGGAACAGAAAGGGAGAGGCTGATCCATGTAACCATCAGGCATTGAGATGAATATTTGCAAGTTTTGTAAAGCTCAGTCCACTTTTGATTCACCATTGTTTCCACCACGTGGTCCTTCAAGGCTGTTAACTGAGGGCCTGGTGTGTTTCTCTAGTGGGTTTTAAACTCTATTCTTTGTTTTCTCAGTAGAAGACTGCAGAAAATTCTGTTCGAATGTTTTCTTCTCGGGTTTTTAGCCTGTTGCCTCACGGAGCTTCAGAATTTAGCAAACTTCTTGAGAGGGAAGCTGGATCATGTTTGAGGTTCCCGAATCTCCAGTTTTTCGTTCCGAACCCCTATTCATTTTTCTGTCACCTAAAGATGTCTCTTTCCTTGAGCCAGGCTGGATTCTTAGCCTCTTGTTCTTGCCCATAATCAGTCAAACGGCCACAGGAGAAAGCAGCAGTGTATTTCCAGCCCACCTCCCTGCAGTTCTGCCCTCTCCAAAGCCTCAGACCTTCAAGTCCTCTTGGCTTCGGCAGCTCTCCATCGCCTTTAAGCCAATTATTCTTATTTTTCATCTTGATTTATTACTTCTTTCAGAAGAGGCATTGGTCTGTTCCCAACATTCTATTTTTCATGGGGCAAAATTCCAGTCATTTATTTTTTTAATATCACTTAATTTTTCTTTCTGGTATATCCATGTCACCTGAGATTTTCAAAATTATTAAACATGCCAGGGATGTTTGTCTAGTTATTATCTAAATAATAATATGAGAATGCAGCCTACATGCCTGAAGAAAGCTAAGCTTGTTTTTGAAGATCATGGACATTTTTTCCCCAAGTAACTTAAGAAAATTTTGAAATTATAGTTTTTCTTAGAAGTTTTTTAAAGTTAACATCGAAGTTTTCGGCAATGACCCGGCTCATCGTAGCAAAGCCTACGTCCTCCTTATGTGTCCACAGCTCTCTGTCCAGCCCCAGCCATCTCTGTAAGTTGCAATATTTGATAAAGTACAAGGATAGTCTAGCACTGCAAAGGAAAAGAGGAGGACTGGCTGTGAAGAGTGTATCTTCTCTTTCTGAAAAAACCTCAAAGATCATAGCATGTTTCCATATACCCATTTTACAGATGAGAAAAGAAAGATTTAGAGAGGTCAAGTAATTTGTCCAAGATTACGTAGCTGGTAAATTGTGTCACTAATATACTAGTCTGTCTAATCTCATTCTCTATATCCCAGAAAATACATGCAAATCCAGATAAAGGAACATATTAGGTGAGTGCAAAAGTAATTGCCGTTTCTGCACTGTTAGAATCTGCCATTCGATATTGGAATACATCCTTTTTTTTTTCTTTTTTTGAGACGGAGTTTCGCTCTTGTTACCCAGGCTGGAGTGCAATGGAGTGACCTTGGCTCACCGCAACCTCCGCCTCCTGGGTTCAGGCAATTCTCCTGCCTCAGCCTCCTGAGTAGCTGGGATTACAGGCACGCGCCACCGTGCCCAGCTAATTTTTTGTATTTTTAGTAGAGACGGGGTTTCACCGTGTTGACCAGGATGGTCTCGATCTGTTTGTTGGCCTCATGATCCACCCGCCTCGGCCTCCCAAAGTGCTGGGATTACAGGCTTGAGCCACCGCGCCCGGCCCGAATACATTCTTAAATAAATGTGGTTAGTGTATAGCTCTTCTATACATCATTTTAATGAGCATTTCTCACTTTATTTATTTATTCACGTTTGCTAATGACATCAGTCGCTGTTTATTTTATGTTTATTTTACAGTATGGAAATGATGTTAGACAAAAAGCAGATTCAGGCAATTTTCCTATTTGAGTTCAAAATGGGTCTTAAGGCAGTGAAGGCAACTCAGCATCAGCAACGCATTTGGCCCAGGAGCTGCCGTGAATGCACAGTACAGCGGTGGTTCAGGAAGTTTTGCAAAGGAGATGAGGAGTGCAGTGGCCGCCATTGGAAATCGCCACGACCAACTGAGAGCAATCATCGCGCTGATCCTCTTACAACTACACGAGAAGTTGCAGAAGGACTCAGCGTTGACCATCCTACAGTCGATCAACATTTGAAGCAAACTGGAAAGGTAAAGAAAAGCTCCATAACTGGGTGCCTCCCGAGCTGAGCAAAAATTTTAAAAATTGTCATTTTAAAGTGCAGTTTTCTCTTATTCTACACAACAAGAAACCGATCCTTGATAGGATTGTGACATGCAATGAAAAATGGATTTTATATGACAACCAGCAATGACCAGCTTAGTGGCAGGACTAAGAAGCTCCAAAGCGCTTCCCAAAGCCAAACTTGTACCAAGGAACGGTCATGGTCACTGTTTGGTGGTCGGCTGCAGGTCTGAATCCTGGTGAGACATTACGACTGAGAAGTGTGCTTAGCAAGTCAATGAGATGTGCCGAAAACCGCACGACCTGCAGCTGGCATTGGTCAACAGAAAGGGCCCAATTCTTCTGCACACTACCCGACCACACATGGCACGACCAACACTTCAAAAGTTGGACGACTGCTGTGTGAGAGGCTGAGGCAGGTGGATTGCCTGAGCTCAGAAGTTCAAGACCAGCCGGACAACACCGTGAAACCCTGTCTCTACTAAAATACAAAAAATTAGCCAGGTGCAGCAGCCTGTGCCTGTAGTCCCAGCTATTTTGGAGGCTGAGGGAGGAGAACTGCTTGAACCCGGGAAGCAGAGGTTGCAGTGAGTCGAAATCACACCACTATGCTCCAGCCTGGTGACAGTGAGACTCCATCGACACAAAAAAAAAAAAAAAAAAAAAAAAAAAAAGTTGAACAAATTGGACTGTGAAGTTTTGCCTCATCCGTCATATTCACTTGACCTCTCACCAACTGACTACCACTTCTTCAAATATCTCAATAACTTGCAAGGAAAACACTTCCACAACCAGCAAGATGCAGAAAATGCTTCCCAAGAGTTCCTTGAATCTCAAAGCACGTATTTTTATGCTACAGAAATAAACAAACTTATTTCTTGTTGGCAAAAATGTGTTGATTTTAATAATTCCTACTTTGATTAATAAGGATGTATTTGAGCCTAGTTACAATGATTTAAAATTCATGGTCCAAGATTGCAATTACTTCTGCACCGACCTAATGGAATTATCTCTGGACTGTTTTTTTTTTAATTGCATTTTAGGTTTTGGGGTACATGTGAAGAACATGTAAGATAGTTGCATAGGTACACACGTGGCAGTGTGATTTGCTGCCTTCCTCCCCTTCACCTATATTTGGCATTTCTCCCCATGCTATCTCTCCCCAACTCCCCACCCCCACTGTCCCTCCCCTATTCCCCCCAACAGACCCCAGTGTGTAGTGCTCCCCTCCCTGTGTCCATGTGTTCTCACTGTTCAACACCCGCCTATGAGTGAGAACATGCAGTATTTCATTTTCTGTTCTTGTGTCAGTTTGCTGAGAATGATGGTCTCCAGGTTCATCCATGTCCCTACAAAGGACACGAA